GGTGGCCAAGGTCACATCGGAGTGGAATGGGTCAAAAGTCAGAGACTCAAAGACGTAAATGGGTAGGGACGCACAAGAGACAACACAATAGCGCAATAGTTATGTTTAATACTTCTACATGGTACGCATTACGGCGTGAACGAGCAGTTCCCTGCAGCCGTGGAAGAAGTCCGCCGGGGACTTTATCCTGTGGCAAAGCGACTGAGGAAGCTAAGGCACAAGGTCAAGTTTGTGAGAGATAAAATGTACGTCGATGGGGTCTTGTACACTGGAGAGGAGAATGACGTACAAAGTAATACGGTCCCGGAGAACAGACCAACACACTATAATGGTAGGCCAGCTAAACGGCAGCGACAACCCTCAACACCTAAGGATGACAGTCATAGTAACTCAGGCGTGAGTAGCTCATTTGAGAACGTGTCTACTTCAAACAGGTTTCAGGCGTTAACATCTCAGGGTAGCAATCGGGCTGTCGCGTCTGCTTGGGCCCTTCCTGGAAACGGTAGGAGGGGGCAGTGTGATCGTGTAAATGGCGGTCAGGCACAGCGTACGTCACTTCCGACACCCACGGGATCTGGGTCTGAGGAGACTAACGTCAAATCGGTGCTGTAGGGGTCTTCGGAGGTCAATCACACTCTTCATATTTGTAGCTGGAACGTTCAGAGGGGTTTGAAAAGTAAGATCGAGAATAGCTCATTTTGTGAATCATTTAGTGAGGCAGATATTGTATGCCTTTCGGAATGCTGGTTGGACGACGCGGACGATTTCGCGGTGAATGGTTTTGAGCATTTTCAACCTGTCCTCAGATCCAAGTGTAAAGGAGGCGGTCTAGTGTGTTTATTCAAACCATGGTTGCGTGGTTTTATTTCTCTACAATCCGTACAATTGGACAGTATTTTATGGATAAAAATCGACAGCAAGCTTTTCCCTGATAATAAAGATGTCTTTATAGCTCTAACCTATTTACCGCCAGTAGGATCAGTTTTCTACGGCGCATATGAAGAGGACTTCTTTCAACTACTAGAGAACGGTATAGGTCATTATAGTGCCTTAGGTAGAGTATTTGTAATAGGGGACCTTAACTGTCGGACTGGTAGAGAACCAGATTATATATCGATCGACTCGTTACACGAAAGTGTCCATCGTCAACTTGATGGTTTTATGTCTTATCCTCAGGAGCCATGTGACGTAAAGCGTAACTCAGAGGACCTACAAATTAACACTTTTGGGCGTAGTCTGCTACAGTTGTGTAAGTCAACGGGAATTCAGATTCTTAACGGTCGTACTATAGGTGATCCAGATGGTAAAATAACGTTTTGTAATTCAAATGGTACAAGTGTAATAGATTATGTATTAGCTGATAAGTTGTCGATGGCAAATGTCAAATCTTTTGAAGTTGGTCGTTTTAATGAATATTCTGATCATGCACCTATATATGTATGTTTAAACTGCTTTAAGTCAAAAAGTGCCTATTGTAACTGTTGCACTGTAGATAATAGATTTTCAACAGTAACCAGGGTAGCATGGTCTGATGAGGCCGGGAGCAATGCAACCAATCACATTTATGATAATAGGTTTTTGATTGAGAGTTCAGTAGATCAACTTGTTAATACAAGGGAAAGTATTGATAAATGTTTAGAAAATCTTGTGAAATGTACGCATACTTTGTTTGATAACTTTTGTGTTCGTAATAGACAGATATCGAACTGTTCATGTGTTTGCCATACTGGAAAGTTAGATAAGAAAGGGCCAGATAAACCTTGGTTCGATAATACTTGTAGATTGTTGTATAATAGATATAAAAGTGCGTTATTGAGTTTTAATGTAGACCGGTCATTGACAAACAGAGTAAGCCTTGCGCAAGCCAAAAAACAGTATAAAGTATGTGAGAGGAAGTTGAAGCGAGCCTATTTGAGAATGGAAGGGAACATGCTGGATCTGTTAAAGAGGAATAATCCTAAAGAATTTTACCGTAATTTTTCTAAGCGGAAGGCCTGTGATACGGGTAATTTATCGTTAACTGATTTTTTTCAATACTTCAAAGGTCTCGCTGATGTACCTATCGTCGAAAGTCGAGGTCATAGTTTGATTGATAGAAATACTGATTGTGTTTATCCAGAGTTAGATGTGGATTTTAGCATTGAGGAATTAACAGATGTAATTAGGGGTTTGTCTCGTGACAAGTCGGCTGGTACTGATATGTTACTTAACGAATACATAATTGAATATAGAGATATTTTTTCCCCTGTTTTGATCAGGTTATTTAATTCTATGTTACATGTAGGATATTTTCCAGAGTCCTGGGCGCAGGGTGTTATTATACCTCTTCATAAAAAGGGGGATAAAAACAATGTGAATAATTACAGGGGAATAACATTAATTAGTCATCTAGCTAAGTTATTTACTTCCTTGTTAAATAAAAGATTATTAAAATGGAGTACAAGAGAGGATATTGTTACCGATGTCCAATTTGGTTTTAAACCTGGGTTTGGTACCAGGGATGCTATTTTTACATTACATAGTTTAATAATAAATACATTAGAACAAAACAAAAGGCTGTATTGCGTATTTGTAGATTACAGCAAAGCTTTTGATAGTGTAACACATGATAAACTTTGGTATAAACTTTGGAAAAGTGGTGTTAGTGGCAGACTGCTAAATGTAATTAGATCTATTTATGATAATGTTCGTTCTTGCATAAATTTAAATGGTAAATTGTCTACTATGTTCGATTTACATGTCGGTTTATTACAAGGGGAATCGTTATCGCCCATGCTTTTTTCATTATTCGTTAATGATATGGAGAGTGAGTTTTTAAATTCCAATTGTCAAGGTTATGAACTACAATTGATTAATCTGTTTATGTTAATGTATGCCGATGACACAGTTTTGTTTTCGGAAGATGTTAACAATCTTCAGCACATGCTAGATTGTCTGCAATGTTACACTGATAAATGGAATTTAACTGTTAATTATGATAAAACTAAAATTGTAATTTTTAGAAAAAGTAAAAGAATCTTACCTACTGAAAACTGGACGTTTAATGGCAAGTCAATTGAGATAGTGGACAAATTTTGTTATCTAGGATTAGTTTTTTATTATAATGGAAGATTCACCGTAGCACAAAACACGTTGGCATCTCAAGGCAGGAATGCTTTTTATCTTTTAAAAAGAAGAATGAAAGATTTTATCCTTAATACTGAAACTAAATTATCTTTGTTTGATACATATGTGACATGCATACTGAACTATGGATGTGAGGTATGGGGTAATTGTTTATCGCCGCAAATCGAAAAAGTCCATCTTCTCTTTCTTAAAGATTTATTAAACGTTAAGAAAACCGTCAATAGTTCTATGGTTTACTTTGAGACAGGAAGTTATTCCTTACATATAAAGCGCAAAGTAGCTATAATTAAATACTGGTTAAATATTTTGAATACAAATAACTGTGTACTAAAAGCATGCTATGATGCACTACTTGAGCTTAATGTCAAAAAGCCGAATTGTAAACTTAACTGGGTTTATCATGTTAAAAATGATTTATATAGAATGGGTTTTAATCATATTTGGGATGTTCAATATGTTCCAAATGAAAAACAATTTGTGGAAATGTATACCCAACGTCTGCATGACGTATTTATTCAGGAATTACGTGGTGCGTTTGAAACATCTTCTAAATGTTATTTATATAGACATCTTGTCGATACTTTTAATATGCAATTCTATTTAGTAAAGCCTTTAACATTTAATACCAAAAAAATGTTGAGTCAATATCGCATGCAGGCGCATTCCCTTAATATCGAATCTGGACGTTATAATGGGGTTCCGAGAGGTCAAAGATTATGTTTTGCCTGTGACAAAAATGATTTAGAAGATGAGATACATTTTATTCTTATTTGTCCTGCTTACTCTGTATTGAGAAACACATACATTAAGCAATATTACTTCCGATGCCCCAGTGTGTATAAATTAATTGAATTATTGTCATGTAAAAGTATTAAAACATTACGTAGATTGGGTCTGTATTTAAAATATGCTACCGCCAAAAGAAAAACCCTCGTGTAGTAATATTGCTAAATTATGTATTCTTTTTATGTGATAATTGCTTATATGGAATTGTCCTCCGCCATCTTGAAAATTTGAAATATGTTTTGTATTCTATGTATCAATTAACCTATATGCTGATTTGCATTCGGAAATAAAAAACTTAAACTTAAACTTAAAAATACTTGCTTCACGGCCTATCATCACATCATAGGTCATTTGGGCCAACCAAAGGTCGACACATTTCGCAACAATAAGGCTAAGGATTATACATTGGAGCGCGGCATAGGTAAAGGGAGGGGCGCAAGGGCATGTGGAAATGGGGATCGGGAAAGGCAATGGAACTATATGGACATAGAAACCTGGGGCGGGAAAGACAAGATGGAGTTCAAAAGTAACTACTAATGGCAATACGGACTAAGGGACATGCCACGTATGTTATAACGGGACAGTATAAAGAGTTCCTCACATTGTCGCCTATTGATATATATATATAGATATATATATATCATTTACTATATTTCCCTGTGAGCACCCGGGGAGGGAGGGGTTAAAGTAAGGGACAGGGCATTTGAGCATTACCCCTATTTCATTAGTAATTTCAATTAATCCCTAAGTCACTTAAAAAGTACGTTATTTAATTCAGAATGTTCAAAATCAAAACCTTTTGTTTAATGAAAGCTTGAAAAATACATGCACATGCCCCTGCCTTTGTCGAACATTCTCAAAAATAGTTTTCCTTCATTTTCCTTTTATAGATATGCTATACAATAACGATCATAGTCTGTTATAAGCAGACAAATGGCGATCATGCTTATAATTATATTTTCTATCTATTGTTTTTCACTGTATTTAAAGTAAAATGAAAATTATATAGACATGACATTGTGTTTCCTTTCTGGAGGTCATTTAATCATTTTAAATGGATATCTTAAGGAACAAAGACAAATACATACCGTCATCCGACGTCAGTGTTTCGTCCAGCTGAAAGCAAAGCATGATGGATTTGGCGGACATGGTCACCTTCGGAATAGCTTGACACTTTCCCGCGAAACAAAGGCATCAACTCGAGGGGTTCCGTGGTCTCTTCCTTCCTTCAAACGATTGACGTTTGAAGTGAAAGTTTACAAAATGTCGATCCTACCTAACTTTAAACGGTCTGCTGGACGCTCAACACGTGTGCATTCGTCGACAATTCAGATAATTATAAATGTTTCACGAGTTATCTACGTTTAAAATTTAAAATCAGTATTTAACACCAAATATAGAAATACTTCGTCCAAATCAATTCAACGTTTGATACAAGTAGGTATTTATATGCACTTGTATTTGTAATATTTCCGGTCCTTAAGCCTCTTGACACTGTCAGTTGAACGAATCGGAGTCCGTATTATGTATGTAGAATGGCACCACGTTCGATTCCTTAAGCAACGTTTGTCAGTTTTTTGCGGACTTGATAACGTTGAAGGGACGTCCGGGATTAGACTTTTACGCTGTTAGTGTATCGAAGTATGTTTTACATGTCAAGTCAACCTGTTAGCTGTATGCTGCAGTAAACTCACCCAGTCTTTAATGCTGTGTTCTGTAGTCGGCCTCAGCTACAGCGGCTGAATAGCGGCACTGTTATCGCTAGACTAGCACGGAGTCTCCATACCTATGCAGTTCATTCAATACCTGGAACTCGTACACCATAAGGGTTACACACGCTCTGGTGTTACTTGCTTGTCCAAATTACATGTTTTACGCTGCATTCGATTCTGCACAAACCTCCTAACTGTAAGATACGAATGCGTGTTGTTTGTTCTTCCTCGCTGTGTTTAATTCCAGCTCTTATCCGCACAAAAAAAAACTGCAAATGTATGCAATCCCGTCGTAAACTTTGCCTTCACGTTTGGACGTGTTATAGGTCCTTCAATTGTTTCCGTTCCGTACCGTTGAAGATATCCTTTGCACTATGTGAATTCAAGACAAGCCTGTGGATTTTGCAGGTATCTTTGATAGCACAAAAAAATCACCTATTGCGTAATTTCCAGTGTCTGCCTCCTTTATAAATATTAATGATGTTCGCTTCCGTGTTTTTGCACCGAAACAGCAAAGGAATGGCACGTGCCTATATAGTTAAATGGCGACTCTGCCCGTGTAGTCGACAATGGTATCGCCTGCGTTACTCCCTCTGCAAAAGGCTTGTTCCAAATTCGGTACGTGTATATGCACTAACTTGTCTATAGAGATAGATTTTAAAACAATGGCTCTGGCTGATTCTGGCTTAATCGACCCGCTAGTATATATATTTATATCTATACATTGTATTTTACGTCTGATAGTTCAGCTTAATCGGTCAAGCGTGAGCGAACCATACAGATGTTTGTCCACACAGAACATTGCTGTTTGTAATGGCTAAAGACTTTAAACGTATTTTCTGTACTTAAAGCAGTACTCTCACGGTTAAATAGGTAGCATGACTAGATCTTAACTTTAAACAAATTTGATATTAAGATTTTATAAAGGAAACCGAATATCAACATAACATATATATGGTTTTAAAAACCTGCATCAAACACCGGGCAGAGGTGTGTATACAAGCTAATTGGCTAAATATACGGTTTTATGAATTGCGAAGTATTTTTTTCGATAATGACAGAAGGGATTTTCCGTGAATAGAAATATTAAAAATATACGTGCATGTACCTTATATGTATGTAGGCTGATTGAGAACGCCCAAAGTTTGGTTTGGTTGAGTGTTGTTTAACGTCCTATCAACAGCTATGGTCATTTAAGAACGGCCTCCCATGTGTGCAAGATGCATGCATGCGTGTAGTGTATGCGTGTGTGTTTGGGGAGGCTGCGATAAGCGCGGAACTGATGCCGACTCTATAGTGCTACCTCACTGAAGCATACTGCCGAAGACACCCAGCTGGACAACCCACCCGGTCACATTATACTGACAACGGGCGAACCAGTCATCCCACTCCTAAATTGCTGAGCGTTAAGCAAGGGTAGAAACTTCTACTATTTTAACAGTCTCTTCTATGCCTTCCACACAGGGCGAACGGTCAACTAAAGGCCAAAAGTGAGGCATTGTCAAGGGAGACATTAGGAAGAAAAAAGTTGTTTAGAAAGAAGAGAAAAGATAAGATCCTAAATTTAGTCTGTTATAACGTTTGATTAATTACCTTGATTTAAAGACTAAGTACTAAGTACCTCGTTATAACGAGTAAGTATCTCGTTATAACGACTTAGTATCTCCTTATGACGACTAAGTACATCGTTATAACGAATACGTATCTCGTTATAACGACTATGTACATCGTTATAACGACGAAGTACATCGTTATAACGACTAAGTACATCGTTATAACGACTAAAAATATCTTTATAACGACTAATGACCTCGTTATAACGAGTAAGTTCCTCGATATAACGAGTAAGTATCTCGTTATAACGAGTAAGGATCTCGTTATAACGACTAACGAGATGCTTTCTTTTTCAAACGAAATGATATCTTGTTATAACAATGATAGGAAGTATTGCTTAAGTGTCTTCAATCTGGAATGTACGTTGCAGATATTTTATTTACATTATCGGGTTAACGGTTTCGTTAAACTTGCCTTTAGGCTATATGATACTGTTCCTGTCTCAGGTCCGGTGCAGGTTCGGGAAAGAAAAGTCGTACTGAATCCCACTGCGTGCCGGACGAGGCGACTAACGTGCGCGGAGCCATTTGAGAAATCGGAGGATGTGTGTGAAGGGGAGTGATCCTGTGTCTTTTATTCTGTGGATACTAGCGAAAACGAAATTAATATCATATATTTATTTTCCGTGTTAACTCCGCGGGCACCGGTCTTCGCATGCCCAAGTCTTAGTTTAAACATGTTTTATTGCCAAGCAAATGGTTAAGGTATACGTACCAGGTTATTTAACTTAAATGAACTCTTTTCCCATGACCCTGGCTGTTAAACCACAAACAAAACAAGTCTTAGGACTTGTATAGGTCTATGGTTAACAGCATGTAGACTTGCACAAGTCAGCATACATGTATGTATATAAGTAAAAATCAGTTGAGACGAATTAGTGAGACAAACCCTTTATCACGTAAGCCAACCACCCAACCAGTAAAAGATATGATAGCAAGTCAATTATTTCGTCTAAATGCCATTTATAATGTCGTTCGCTCCATTGTACATTACAAAACAGAAGTCATGCGCGACATTGTTCAGGGCACTGTCAGCTTAATGTACACCTAACATTATAGGTTTATTTTTAAATCGCTGATATTTTATTCATTATAACTTTGAAAACAAGTAATGCGTGTCTTGGTATTCAACATATCAAACTCCTTATAATTTACAGAAAAATACCATGCTTCCATGTACATTTTAGAAATAAATTAACCGAAATGTTCAATTAGGTGTATTAGTCAGCCTGTTGATATTACTACTGCATGCTTTGTTGACTATAGTAAACAAGCATGAAATGACACGTGCACTGCCTCCTTCACACCGAAGGAATGTTATATACAGCGAGTCTGCACAGTGTATATATAAATTCAAGCAGACATACAGACGTATACAATATATAAAATCTATACCATACTGATTACAGGCATAGGAATGTAACATCGGTGTTAGATAACGGGGGTCTTTTATCCAGTCAATTCGATAAATCTCTCAACACGCAAATGTCAATTTCGTACAAGCTGGTCGTGAACACGGAATTGAAATGCCCCTGGAAACATGCGCCGCATGTCTATATCCTAGCTCTATACTTCTGATTGTGAACGATCGAAATGATTGATTATATTGCAAGTGGGAGAGGAAGAGAGAGGGGCAAGGGATACACAGAAAGGGAGTGTGACGGGGAGAGTTCCAATTTTTGTATTTACCAAATGCAATACAGCATATAGGTTATACAGTTACATCACACATGGTTCATAATAAAGTACAATATACAATATGGCGGAGGATAATTCATGGTTCACATTTAACATATATTTTTTTTACTGACCCACAAGGGACTTTCTTTTGGCAGTTGCATGCAATAGGTATTTACCAAGTTTACTTAAAGTTTTGATATTTTTACATGAAAATAATTCAATCAATTTATAAACACTAGGATGTCGATAATAATTGTCTTTCTTAACTCAGAATAAGCTGGACAAAGTAGTATAAAATGCATCTCATCTTCTGTATCATTTTTGTTACAGACAGTACATATTCTTTGGCCTCTTGGGACGGCATTGTAACGTCCTGACTCAATATTAAGACAGTGTGCTTGCATGCGATATTTACTCAATGATTGTTTGATACTAGAAGTTAAGGGCTTTGTTCAGTAAAATTGAATTTGAAAATTATCAACAAGATGTTTATATAGTCACGTTTTGAAGATTTATCAAATGCACTACGTAATTCTTGAATAAATATATCGTGCAAGCGTTTAGAATACAATTCCAAAACACTGCCTTTCATTTTGAACATTTTGAGCAATCCAAATATGGTTAAAACCAATTCTACATAAATCATTTTCAACTTGATAAATCAATTTTAATCTACAATGTGAATCATGAGGGAGAGATAATTGAATGAATGAAAGGGTAGGAAAAACGGAGAGGATGGGGGGAGGGGGAGGGAGGGGGGAGTGCGAGGGATGCTAAGAGGTCAGGGGAAAGATGACTGAGGAGAGAGGGACGGGAGGAGGGAGGGAGAGAGAAGGTGTGATAGAGGGACAGTAAGAGGAAAAATGAGAGGGTGAAAAACGGAGAGGGAGCAGNGGGGGGGGGGGGTAAGAGAGAGGGCGATGGGTGGAGAGAAAGAGAAAGGGCAAGGGAGAATGTCTGTACGAGAGGGACAAGAAAAGGATGAATGAGAGGGCGAGAATTAGTTAATTTGAATTTATATGTATTTCACATATTGCTATATTGCTGTTAATGTGAACGTGAACCGCCATGTATGAATTAATAATGCCAGGTATTAGCCGCAGGTCGATGCATTTTCTTCAGGTGTCTGAATGAAAAATAAAATTACAATGTGTGATGATACTGCAGGTCTGGTGGAATCACGTAACCGTTTCACTGGATATTTAAGTTTTGTATGATGTGTTGGGGACTTAAGTCATCTTAACGACTAGGCTTTAGGGTGGTAGGGTGGCTCAGTGGATAACGCACTTGCCTTTCACCAAGGCGGCCGGGGTTATTTTCCCCGATCGGACGTGAAAAGGTATGGGATGGGGGTCACCTGCCAGAACAGTGGATTTTCTCCGGGTACTACGGTTTCCTCCTATCATAAGACCAAAACGCGCTAGCATCCGGACCTACAAGAGTGATAAGTATAAATTATAAAATAAAAAAAAGTTTATATATATAACGGTTATGCTCATTTAAATAAGCCATGTGTTTCGTGATTGGAAGAAATGACCGGAGTAGCCGGAGAAAAACAACCGACCTGCGGTCAGTACCCGACGACTGGCCCACGTCGGCCTCATATATTTTGTCCCGGATACCTCGATATTCTCCTTCTGCAATAAAGAGAAATTATCTTAATTCTCCCATGCTATTTTGTTATCGTCAAGTTGAATTACATATTTCTTACACGTGCGATATAAACTTTTTGTCACATATTATGAAGGTGTTGTAAAAATAGACAGGGCTTTAGATTGTCCGATCACGACTTAACACACACTCAAAACACGTATTTGTGAGTATAACTCCAATTTCAAAATACATTTACGATATAAATAGAATCAATTACATGATTTTAAGAAAGTAAACACACTTAAATTGGTTTCCGAAAGACTGGTTTTGAAAGGAAATCGGTCCCATACGTGTTTTAATCATACTAATAATAATAATTCGAGGTTCTTTTATACCGCTTTATCACAACCTAGTTCATATAGTTCGTCTAAAAGCGGTTCAAAAATTATTATCAGTGGTTATAGGGCCTTTGCAACCAGCCAATATATTTTTCAACTCCCTGGGGAGCATTCAGCCGGTGCTGCCATTTCGACGCTCACAGCTAGTATTTAAACAATTCTAGCACTGCCCAACCACGTACTCATTTACAGCTGAGTAGACTAGAACGAGTGGAGTAAAGTATCTTGCTCAAAGATACAACACATACAGTGCCGTGCCGTAACGCGAACCCGCAACCCTTCGGTCACGAGCCCGGCGTCCTACCACTATAGACTACCGTGTAAAATTGACATAACACATAATTAAAAGCAGACACCATAACTTGTTGGCGTTGTTGTTATTTTCCGTTTCGGAACAAAGAACCTTGTTTACGAGGTTGTTGTTATAATAACTTTCCCTAAACATCCGATTTGAAATAACTGGGCATGCTCACTTCCGTTGCTCAGGTAGCTCATCGGTTTC